TTTTAATTATTTTATATGATCATCGCCTCTATAATAATTATAAAAATATAAACTGCGAATATATTATGAATAATATTTTTTAATATTTTAAATTCAATCCTTTTTTTTTTTTGACAGAAATTTAATGAAAGACAACTTTTCCATTTTAATAAAATTTCTGCAGATTTAAGTTCTCAGCGAACTCACTTTTGTTGCGAAAAATATGAAATTAATCGCGAATTCGTCGTATAAATTTTAAAACTTGCGAGAAGGCATTCGGTACCCTTGATACTGTTTATAAAAACTTGTACGTCAGTTGGCACTCACTGACTCATGACGGATTAGAAATGAGTAAGCCTGTATTATAGTTTATATGATAATGTCGTGCACGCGTGCTTTTATAACTTGCTTTTATCACCCTTTGATAACATTATTCCTGCTTCGCTGTTTAATATATTCGCACGTCATTCGACATTTATTTTCAATAATCCGTCGACATATTTGTCGAGTTTTAATAGAATAAATAATTCTGCAATAGTTTATGTAGCGGGCAAGATGATCGCGCAATCATGATTAATTCTTGATATACTATACACACGTTGGCACATAAACACGATGTGTACACGATCCACATACGATACACATGTGCTTCATCGAGTTTGTTTACACGTTCTATAACTCGATGTTATTCGCGTGGCAGCAATTAATAGATACATATTTAGCCGATAGCACTTAAATGAATTACACCCACGTGCGACAGACGCAGGAAGCCTTCCTTGAAACGTACATAAAATTTGAGAACTTGTTGACAGCAGATTCACAAATCTTTCACAGGAATTAATTTATGATCGAAAATGAAACGCGAGAGTGTTGCGATAATCTTAACTCAATCGAACACAAGCCATCATTTGCAGCATATGTGTATTAAAAAAAAAAAGTTATTGATTAGTCTTAAAATCAATAACAGTTGACGATGGATAAATGAAGGATAAGATTGTGTAATAATTATCATAATCTGAATTATATATACAAATTTTGATATGTATATGATATTACTAAACTTGATTTTTGTTGCAAATATTTTTATCTCATATTTAACATATACAGGATACATCTAAATGAGTGGGGAAAATTTTAGGAGATGATAATTCTTTGTCGAAAATTAAGGGAGGTTTCTTATATAAACATACACTCTTAAAAATTACGTTTTTATTTTTTTCTCAAATTTTAGACAAATAAAGTAAAATTTGGTGGATATTTTCCATTAATAAAAAAGGTAATTTATTAATATTAAAAAAAAATAAAAATTACTTTTTACCTCCCTCTTTAGAAAAGTGTATCCTTAGGGAGGAATGTAAGAGTATATATGTTTATATAAGAAACCCCTTTTAATTTTCATCTAAAATTTTTCGCACTTATTTAGATACACCCTGTATATATCAATCTCAGCAACATTTAATAAATTGAAGCATAAATGAGTTAAGCATTTTCAATTTGAATTTGACTGTCACACGGACGTGCCTTCTGAATTAATCATTTTCATACGAATAGACTTACACATTCGCATTTGTCGATACGTAAAAGTGTCTGCAGTTCGGAATCGGAGCAATCAATATTCGCGCTGGATAGTATATAGAAGGACAAATGTCATACGTCCACGTATACGATATTAATCAGTCTACCTGCAGAGAAACATTCTATCCGACAATGAGCAGGTATAGTGTATATATCATATATACATATCTTTCAAGAGTTTTTATCGCAAGTACACAAAGCGACTACGATTGGCCGGATTAGATATACATTTTTGGTGTCGAATTAATCGAGAAGGCAAACAAGAGTCCGCTTTTAGTTAGTGAACGCATTGTTTCCCCGAGCACGTTAGCCACGTATCACGAAACGATGATTAATACGATGTCCGAGATAATTAAACGTCTAGTGTAGTTATGATGGCGGGATATATTCCTGACACGAGCGCGTCTAATCAACGCTCATAAAATAAATCGCAAGGGGGAAATTCTCTAGGTCCGCCACTTTGTTACCTCTCGACCATCAAATCTTTCGCTGCTGCATTGCGGACGAAATTGTATATTAATGCAGTGGCGGTTTCTATTAATTTCTCTATGCGTTCGCTTTATCTCGATATTTCATCAATCTATTTAAAAAATGCTTACAGAAAGAATTACGAATAATTTAAAAAAAAATGTTCTTGTTGATATAATATTACGTGCGTAATATAGAAATATTAATGATCGAGATATTATATTAGATGTGTTTTAACTGCCTCTCACACAATATCGATACTTTATAATCTTGTCGTGCATAGAATTATGTGTACATTAATTGGCAATTATTTCAGGATAACGTTGTAGAATCAATACTGTTTGCCAAGTACCGCTGACCCTATTGAACTGAGAGTATCGGAACAAATAGATACCTGGCAAATTAACGCAAATTAGTACTTTGTCATTAAACTGACAAAGTCTCGGTGTGTTATAATCATTAAAACAACTTTGTAAGTTTATGCGCATAGAGGCACACACAGAGGTTTCTCTCATTTAATTAAATGTAACTATATATACATGATATACAATTATAATACATATATCTATATATCGTATTATAAACTTTTCCTCGTAATATATACAAATAGAAAAAAGACTTAAATAATACGAAATAAATTTCTGCGAGTAATACGAAATAAATGAATGCGTCAAAGTATATTTGCGGAAGCAAGAACATGAAATTCGATTAAATAAAACGAATCTCCTTGTAACTTATTGTACTTGTATCTGCAACGTTCATATATGTGCGCGTATATGTGTGATTACGTAATAATGATTCATTCGATGACACCACGCGATGTCCTCGAAATAAGTGTCCCTCGTGAAGAAGGAAGCATCGTTTGCGTTATGGTAAACACACTTGGCATGTGATTACGAGATACTATGTCATTCTTTTAGGCCGGACGAGAGATTTGTCGCTCCATCAATCCGACTGATAACGTAATGATATTTCCGCTGTTGCTTGAGATATATCAGCGAAGATACCTTACCCTTATACAGTTTTCAAGATTTCATGATTGCAGTTCTATTGCAAATTTTATATAAATATACATTTTATTAAGATTTCTAATTAATTAATAATTACATTAAAAGATTATCAAAAAATGTCAAACATCTCTTTTAGTCATCCTCCTCATTCTAAAACCGACTGCTCTAAATATAACAATACTCTAAAACCACGAAACTGCACTGCGAGTTGGGGTAATTAAACATAATTACAACAACATCTTGTAAAGCTCTTCGGTAGTCATTAACTTGTGGTCTAGATTCGTATATTATGTAGCGCTATAATAAAATGCGCAAAAGATCGCATATTCCTTGGGACTACGTGAAGGACTTGCTCTGTCAAGCACTAAGTCGTAATTAGATCATTTTCAGCACCCGTCATGAGCCACTTAATTCTTAACTGCGCTCAAGTGTCGAAGGAAAACAGGCTAGTGTAAAAACAATGTACGCGATATAACAAATTGAATCACGAGGAAATATATTCCATTGACTTTCTATCTTTATGCCAATGAAAAGGGATGTATGCATTTATTCGAAACGTTCTCAATAGCAAATTTTTCAATGAAAGGAAAATGGGAACAAGAATAGCTCTTGTTCATTTTCATCAAATTAGTTTTAATTAGTTACTCAATAAAAATATTTTTATACATTAATTATGGTATAAACATGAAATGATAATGAACTTTGTAATTTAAAATAAATATCAACATGACGTTTATAATGAAATACAAGTTGCTTTTTTTATGCAGATCATATGTAAATCAATTTTTTAATTTATTCCAGATTTGTATTAATTCTTCGATATTAAAAAAAAATAATTACCAGTACATAGTCTTTCATAAAAAGCTATCCGTCAGTTAGTTGACAGTACTCAGAATACATCAGCTGATTCTGTCATGCCGGACGCACGAGTTCATCTTGTCATAGCAAAAATTAGCATCCGCAGAGAAGTGGGATTTGTTAAAACCCCTTCAAATAATAGATTGTATGATGTTTTTACCTTTTTCTACATACCGGCCTTCAAATACAAACGCGCCTAACGTCGAAGCCTATGATTGTCTCGGGATAATTTGCTCATTAGGCACGTTATTCATAATGTTCCGTCATCTTTTGCGGGTATATAACTCTTCACCGGTTTTTCCTTTTTCTGAGCAATAATGTTCGTCCGCAGTTACTATGTAATCTGGTACAAAATTAATCACTCGTCTAAAGCTTACTTTACTAAGTGCGAACATTGAAGATGAATATGAATTGTTTTAGATGCGTCCACCGTAAATTTTCGTATAACGGTAAGGATTGCAATTTTTAATTTTGTCGAATTTTCTCTGGATATTCTCGAATCTGACATTAAGGAAATTAATAAATTATAAGAGCCAAAAAACATAAATCTATATAATCAATCATAATTAAATTTTTTATAACAATTTACATTTATTTCAAAACTTACAGAGATATAAAATATATATTTATATATAAAAGAGAATGAGATAATAAATTGAAAATAATAAATTCGCTTTTGCTCGGAGAACTTCAAATATAAAATTTTGAGTGTTTTTTTTTTTGAGAGTTAATATAATCATATTTATATTACTGGATTATAAAATTTAAGTATCTAATCAAATTTTAAATGTCTAGGTTCATGAAATAAAAATATCTTTCGATCTTTTTTATATAAATATAAAGAGAGGAGATATGAAATAGTTTTTGAATATAATTATTTTGACAGCACCATTTTATAATTAGTATATACGGAAATAATTGACATTATCTGGCTCGATATGTCGCTTAATGAGTTGATTATTTATCAATGAAGATGTTCACTCTTATCGCCATCGTTCGAGCGATATTTTTTTATTGGCAATGTACGTAAGAGATTGCGTCAAGATTCGCGTCACGAGACATTAATTTTTGAAATTGATAATCAGTGGTATTTTTCCTTGTCTGTTTCAGGGGTGCTGGAGATGGCGGCCACCGAAAGCACGATCCGATTTAGTGGCCACACGTTGGACAAGGCGACCAAGGCCAAGGTGAGTTCGAGTTTGGTTCAAACTTGATTATTTCATCAAGCAATCGTTCTGCTCCATTTATCGTCAATCCATTTCGCGATAGATGATTCAATATATACAGAGTGTTATAGAATGGCACGATTGTAACGAAACGACGATTTTTATGTTGTTTATAATAAAGCTTTTCATAGCTTAATATATCTAACTTGAGGTCATGTGTCGCGTTAAAAGTCAGTCAGTTAAAAGGATTACTGCGGTATAACTGATAATTTAATATTCGAGCTTTCAGTCGTCACTATTCCGTGAAGAACCTTGAGAGTATCCAGGTACGCGCGCGCGTTTATATAAGCAAGAGAAATGTAGGTCAACATTGGGACAATTCAACCGTATGTAAAAGCAATACCGACGAACTGTGCTGCTAATTAATGGTCGGCATTTCTACAAGATAAATATTGCTCTATATATTTCCGCGTGGCTAAATTTAACCCACCTTTCATTCGGGATTATAATTGGTAACATGAAAATTTACAATTCCTATTTAGTGTATATTGTTATAAATTTTATAAATAATATATAATGCTATTTTATTGACACTTTGTAAAATATGTATTTATAAAATACATATGAAATATATAAAAATACTTACATACTGTAATAGTTAAAAAGTTTTTTGTGAAATTAATTAGAAAAAAAAATGGAAATGTAATATTTTGCTTACCAGTTAATGTTTCTGATGAATCATACTTGTGTGTCTACTGAATTGCGACAGTTTCCGCTTTAATCTGAAATACTTCGCAGTTAATGACTGCCTGCGGTTTTTTCTGAGAAAAATTACCAAAAATTGGTCAATTCTTCCTGTTGTTATTCAAGAACGATTGCTCAATATTTGTTAATTATTGCCGCGAAGGCGCATGATAACTTCATTTGATAATAAGCACACTGATCATTAGAGAAAACAGTTTCTTATCATGTATCAGCGTATCTGCGCAGATTTTTAAACGATACAAAGATGAGAGTTGCAAGTTTCCGTAGAAAAAATTGAAAAAAAATTAGAAACACTCGAGGGAAGTGCAAAAAACTTCTGGAGTTTGTCGCTCCAATGAATACATGAATACGGAAATCAAATAACGATTCATTTACATAATGAACAATTATAAAATTTTCCATATATTACAAACATGAATATAAATATTATTTTAAAAGTAATAATAAGAAATACAATATTTATATTTTTTGTATTTCTGTCATTTTCATCATTTTATTTAGTTTCCGTTCGCGCTTTTCGAAACATGAATTTCAATTTGAATTATAATATTATATATTTACATAAGTAAAGAATTTAATTGAAGTAGGACTTTAATCACAATTAATTATTATTATAAATTCGGAAAAAAAACTCGAGGGTGAGACTCTGAAAAATTCTCGAATTTTTGTAAATTTTGTAAGTAATTAATAAGAAATATATTTTTTGCATTCTTGTCATTTTCATCATTTTATTTAGTTTCCGTTCGCTCTTTTCGAAACATGAATTTCAATTTGAATTCCAATATCATATATTTACACAAGTAAAGGAAGCTAGAAATTTCATTAAACTGGGCTTTCAATCACAGTATAATTACATGATTTAAATGTGGAAAGAGCTCCAGAGAGAAAATTAGAGAATTGTTGTAAGTTTCCGAGGAGAAATAACATTGCTACCAAAATATCTCGCGACGGTGAATGCAAACTTGATCTCGGAAGGCGTAATAATCTCGCCAGCTGTTGAGACAGCCGCGCGTGGCCAGCGGAAGTGGTTTTTTATTGTGCACGAGATAAAACGTTATCGATCGCGTTACGTCGAGCTCCCGTGACAAGAGAAGGAGGATAATGATGACGATGTCGCATGCGGGCTCGATGCGATGATAATGTAATTAATTGGAGCGTTGCGTACGCGTTTTGCAGGTGACGTTGGAGAACTATTACAGCAACCTGATAGCGCAGCACATCGAGCGGAAGCAAAGGCTGGCGAAGCTCGAGGAGTCCCTCAAGGATGAGGGCCTCTCGGAGCAGCAGAAGCAGGAAAAGAGGCTCCAGCATGCCCAGAAGGAGACCGAGTTCCTTCGGCTCAAGCGATCCAGGCTCGGCGTCGAGGATTTCGAGCCTCTCAAGGTCATCGGCCGGGGTGCCTTTGGCGAGGTAAGGAAAGATCGATGGTGTTGCATAACGCGCTATGATGCCTAATTAGCGAGCGAAAGTTCGGTGTTAGTTTGATCGTTAAATTGACTGCGGTTGGAGATCCGAGCAAAACCAATCTAAGGGATTGTGCTGATAAAAAAAAATAAGAAGAAAGAATTTCGATTTGAATTCGAGAGATTATATTTTCCGTGTGTATCTACGTCTCTTGCATGTTATGACAAATTGCGATATTTATTGTGACTCCTTGATTTAAATTGGCATGTTAAATAATATACTTATCGTATACGCGATACATATAAATTACTCGCAGTTTACATGGCAATTTAAGCGCATTAGAGATGAAGATTGAGCTTCGCTTGTAGTTACAACAATTATAATAATAACGGAAATACGAAAGGCTCTCACAAGCGGCGATCACGTCCACGAGAGAGCGAAATTATCTCATTATATCTGAAGAAAAGTAGTACTTTTCTTCGCTTCGCGAAGCAAGTGGAATCCCTTCGCACAAAGATCTGAAATTAGACTGGAGAATGCTTTTAATCGCTCGCGACAGGAACCTTGTCGGTATTTTCACTTTGAAAATCTTTCCTCTTTTACGAAATTAACAGGTGAGACTCGTGCAAAAGAAGGACACCGGACACGTGTACGCGATGAAGATTCTCCGGAAGGCGGATATGCTGGAGAAGGAGCAAGTCGCGCATGTCAGAGCGGAGAGGGATGTTCTCGTGGAAGCGGATCATCAGTGGGTCGTAAAAATGTACTACAGTTTCCAGGATCCTATAAATCTCTATCTGATAATGGAGTTTCTGCCCGGCGGTAAGTCATCATTATTGTTCCTGGTGAAAGCAGAGGTATTATATATCCTTGAGCGTTCATGGATATTTAAACCGAGAATGAATTATAGGTGATATGATGACGCTGCTCATGAAGAAGGATACGCTTTCCGAGGAGTGCACGCAATTTTATATTTCCGAAACGGCGTTAGCGATCGATTCCATACACAAATTAGGTTTTATTCATAGGTACGTCCATTAAAAATCTGCTGCAATTGTTTATCGAGAATGGAATTTTTTTTGTAATTTTGCAAGTATGATTGTCGTAGATTTTTAAATTCCATGATAATAATTTTCGACATTTATTTCATTAACAATTTAGTAAAACACGCTGCCAAATTTGGAATTAAACTTAATTTAATTTTATTACTATAATATTTTCGCGTGAATATTAAAAAGAAAAATAATTGTTCATTTTAATTTAATTTATGCTTCAATTTAATGTAATAACATTTCACAGAGACATCAAGCCAGACAACCTGTTGCTGGACGCACGGGGCCACATAAAACTCTCTGATTTTGGGCTGTGCACGGGTCTGAAGAAATCGCACAGAACCGATTTCTACCGGGACCTGAGTCAAGCGAAACCTTCCGATTTCAGTAAGTTGCATCATTCGCTCAAAAGAGAAATATATTTGCAATTATCGATGATGACGACTTAACTAATACCTCGCCTGTGTTTTTTCGCGCAGTGACATCATGCGGGAGTGGAAGCGGCGGCGCGATGGACAGCAAAAGAAGAGCCGAGAGCTGGAAGAGAAACAGGAGAGCGCTGGCTTATAGTACAGTCGGCACTCCAGACTATATCGCGCCGGAAGTATTCCTGCAAACTGGTTATGGACCGGCTTGCGACTGTTGGTCCTTGGGAGTTATTATGTACGAGATGCTTATAGGTACGCTCCTTTAATTTTTGCGTTTTCAAATGCGTTTTAAATTAGCGGATTATCAAGAAGAATAATCGGCATAATTATTAATCTATATATATTTATTAATTAAAATTGTTTGATTAAATCATATATCAGTATAACAATATTATTACATATTACACTGCATATAAATTGTAAGATAATTGCAAAAGATGACATTAATGTAATAAATTCTGAAGGATGAAAAATTAATCTGTAGCCCAATTGAAATCGATAATAACACGACTATTTCAGGCTATCCGCCATTCTGTAGCGAAAATCCACAGGAGACGTATAGAAAAGTAATGAACTGGCGAGAAACGCTGGTATTCCCCCGGAAGTTCCCATCAGCGAAGAGGCTAAAGACACCATCATCAGATTTTGCTGCGAGGCCGACAGAAGATTAGGTAAATCACCGGGTTCTCATCTCGGGGAATTAGAAATTCTCCCACGGCGATAAATGTTGAAACTAATCTTATCGTAATTATTCCTCACAGGGGCGCAACGAGGCATCGAGGAGCTCAAATTGGCACCCTTCTTCCGCGGTGTCGATTGGGAGCACATCAGGGAAAGACCGGCTGCCATTCCGGTTGAGGTGCGATCCATCGACGACACATCCAACTTCGACGAATTTCCAGACGTGAAACTGGAGATACGTACGTACATTCTTTCTCTCTCTCTCGCAATATCATCATTGTATTGGATACTTTGAGAGAACGACACGCTTTTAATGTTGTCCTTCAATTTTATCTCGTTACAGCGTCCGCGCCGATGCCACAGGACGGCGAGGTAATATACAAGGACTGGGTATTCATTAATTATACTTTCAAGCGCTTCGAGGGTCTAACGCAACGGGCACACCGACCAAGAAATAGCAACCCCTCACTTCCTGCTCGATCATCAGCTCCGCCGTCGCCAATCAACAGCCGGCTGATGCGATCGAAATTCCGGCCTTGGTACATCATCCTCATCCGCCGCCTACGTCATCGACGTCAACAACGGTGTCGCGCATGGCGGACGGCTGACCTGTCTCGCTCTCGGGCGCGGTTCGCGAGTCATTCTTATTGTATATACGTGATGAGCACGGGTTGTGTCACGAGCGAGCGCGATGTTATTGCGAATATCGACGATCGAACGACGATCAACAGCGCGGTCAGCCAGGCAGAGAGATGAACGGATGGATACGGGAGAGTATAGTGATAACGGTGCACAACACACACAAATGTCGCACGTCTTACGCGTCGATAACAGTGCGGCGCGCAATAAGGCGACGTAAACGAAGTCTTTCGTTGTGTAACTTACGGTGATTTTCACAGAAATACCCGTCGAGGATCATTGTTCCTCGCTTTTATCGTGCCGCGGAGAAGGCGTTTTGTGCAAAATGTAGCATAATAAGCTCTCTGTGGTGTAATGGTATTAAACGAAAAACGATCAGAGGGAGCCTCGGTCCCGTAGTCTCCTACACAGTTCACTTCTTATTTATGCGACGTGCATCGAAACGATATTTTATTGGGAGAAATGTATACTCGTTAAAAGTAACGTCTGGCTAAGCTCTCGAACCAAGCTCTCTTTTTCTCTCTCCTCTCTCTCTATCTCTTTCTCTCTCTCTGTTTGAACGTTGTATTTATAATTAACTTTCTGTGATATATGAAGTTGTTGAAAATCTCTGCTACCTTCGGACCTTGTCTGTTAGCGGATACTACGCTTTTATTGATGTTGTATATATGTGAGCAATTATATTTTGATTTATTTTGAAAATTTAAGAGTTGTTGCGATATAAGTTGCGATGGAATTTTATATTATATATATTTTCGCGCTACTTTTGAGAGCTTTGGAACTAAGGGGATTAAGCGGTACGACACGCGTGAAGCTTTTCATCTAAAAAGATTCTGATATGTTTTATCATTATATGATTTTTAACATTGTTGTAATAGTATTCTTCGGGTACCGGGTCTCTCTCTTTTTCTCTCTCCTTTTCTCTATCTCTTTTTCTTGTAAGGCAATAATAAACATTTTTAGCCGTGTTTTGAATACACGATAAAGGATTCTAGGCTTTAAAAAAAAGATACCGTAAAAAGGCGTAAGAAAGGAGAAAGAAAAATACACTTGTAAGATTTTCAGGGCTCCTTCGTTGCCTTATTAAGGTTCCTAACAAACAGCCCAACAAATCCGTACGTTTAAACATAAAAGAGATGAGCCAGACAAGCCACTTTTCCGAAATGAAAATGATGAGGAAACGGAATCGCAGTGTATTTTGCGACGATATGTAGAAAATCGCAGACACACACATATACACATACATACACAAACCGACACATCTGTGTGTTTTAACACTCTGTGGAACCGGATACCTTTCCTTTTGGTTGCACTGTGAACAATTTTACGATTTACATTTCGTAGTTTTGCTGACACAGCCAGGGCACCTTGGTAATAAAATAGCGTAATAACGTTAAAGATTAGGTAACATTTAAGATAACAAACATACATACACAGAGGTACCTATACACTAAAAGAAAGGAGATGCACGTGCGCGCGCTCGAAATGCAATTACATTGTGGATAATATAGTACACAAACTGTATAAAAACTCTCGATCCTCTTTCCTCGTAACGTTCCGGCGTGTTTTTACTTAATAATCACGCTGTGCTGTACATTCGACGAAGAGATTAGTTTCGTATGACTCTACTCCACCTGCGTATACATATATATATTATATATATATCTTAACGCCGTTTACAGAGCGAAGTCTTCAAATAGTCTAATAAAGCAGAGAGCGCCTAGATTACGTTGTACTACCAGTTAAGCCAGTGATTTAAACGAAGAAAGAAAGGAACAGAAAATTATCCGTACGAAGAAAGTTAGTAAAAAAAGAGAAAGGTAAAAACTATTTTCTGCTAATTATAGAAGTTAAATCGACGACGAGTGTGACGTAAGCGGGGAAAGTTAGGGAGTTATGGAATATCTTTATAGTCTCTCCTTGTTGCCGTTGAGTACAGATGCTCTGACGTCCATGCTACTAAGTAAAAAGAGAAAAAAAAACGAAGAAGTGATGACGCAATTTATTTATTTAAAGAGAAAGTCTAAATAAATAATACAACAATAGCCACGAGATGCCTTTGACGCAACAAGTTTCGGGTGCCCTGGAACACAGTGCATATATATGTATAGAGGATATTCCAAACTACCAAATGTCCTTTTAAGAGCAGATCTCTTGTTTCCAATTTACAGGTGATTTTTCTTTCGCGAAAATGTTGAGATACAATTATTCCCGAATTGTAAAGTTTTATTTAATTTCAAAGAATTTAATAGAAATTTGAAGCTTAATTACAAAGATATAGGATGAATAAAATTAGAAACTTGCACATAAAATGATAATCTTTCTGATATTTTAGCTAAGGAAAAATCTTTTCCAAATTGACTAAAGAATCGCTTATTAAAAGGACATTCGCTTTGGAAACCCTATATATAAGTATATATATATGTAAAAATATATATATATATACATAGGTATCTTTTAGCAAAGAGAGAGAAATGTGTAATAATACGCGCTAGATATTAAATTAGATGTGCGCTGATTCAAAGTCAAGATGGGTGTAAATTTTTTTCTTTTTTTTTTCGAAGACGAGAAAAACGAATATATTATGATATAGCGGGTGGTGACGAGATGTATGTACGCACGTATCGAGCTACTACACATTCAATGTAATTCTGAGGATACGCGAGAAGGAAATCTCCAAGTAGACTTAACGATATTGATTATCGATGTACACTGTAAATATATTAACGAGGCAACTCTAAATGTTATTAAGACAAGCAAGGCAGTTTTGAGCTCCGGTGTTTAATTGGTTACCGTTGTACTGCCATCCTCGACTTTTTATTGTCGTATATCGCGCATGATGAATCATATTACGGGTGTGTTAAACGTACGGTATATCATCCAATTTCACGTTTTTGCTCGTGTTTATGCTAGTGTTCTTATATCATTGTACGCGACTACTGATTAGTTGTTAATTTACGGTTAATTTAAATGAAAGAAACCGCGATAGATCTCTCCTAGCTAATTCTTACCTAACTAGTAGACGTTAAGTCATCCTTTCCTCAACAACGAGCCTCTCTTTTCATTTCCTTTTTTTTCCTTTCCTTTCGTCGAATAGGGATCGCTTTCTAGACGACTTTCGACGATTCAATTATGTTCGAAGTTTTCGCTTCGCACATTCGCGTCCTCTTCTTTTGATTTCTTTCTCTCGATGTAGCTGTCAATCTTTTCAAGTCAATCTTTTCCGATTATGCGATTCCTTTCTGTCGCGATACGTAGGATTCTGGATCATGTAATATCATGCATACACGATTAATCACACGCACACGTACGTATATCGATCGCGTGTGGCAAGGTGGAACAATCATTTCTTCGCGTTTTCGAATATCGCTGTCGTTCTTCCGAATATTCAATCGATACACCTTTATACCTGGATGAGTAATGACTGAAAAGCACGAGTGTTAAGATTCACCGATTGAAATCTGCTCGTTCGCTTTCGGTGCTTGATGATTATTTTTGAAGACGTTTTTTTATTAAGATATATCGAAATATTTTAAAAATTCGCAAAGATGACCAACTCTTTTCCCATTAAAATAAAAGAAAATAAATGTTATATCGCCGATTCGACACTAAAGTCACTTTTCGAACGAGCTATTTATCATTTATTGCTCATCCAGGGTCAAAGGGGATCATATAACGCGTGATGACGATCTCCCGATTTCGACTCAATATGCGAAATAACGATTTGCACAAAGTTTTCTTGAATAAATATTTTGTAACATTTATCATACGGGGGTTGAGACACAAGTTTAGAAAAATAAAATGGATTTTTCCACTCATATTAATATTGAAAATATGTCATAGTATCTAAATTATAAAGAACTATATAGAATCATTATAAATAAAAAAATATTTTTTTATAATATAAATTTTTTTTATATGAAATTTCATGTTTAGACATCTCAAATTCTGAAAATTGATATTTAGACATCTTTTTCAGAATTTTATCTTCTTTCTTTGTATCGTGTCTTATTCTTATATTTTTAATTTCTCAAACCCGCTCTACAAATTAATACGCAAATCGTTGAATCGCACACGAGTCACTCAAGACAGATGTGCATTAACTGAGAAAAAATCGTAAATATAATATCAGCGTTTTCGCTTGAACATCGCGGAAGCAAACGCGTGTGTTACGATATGCGAGTACCAAACGAATTCCTTATCGGGGGATGCGAGAGTGTTATCTGTCACTGTAAACTGCACTAATGTTCCGTAGCAGCGCGGCTTGATTCATTTCGTTTTCACCACGTTCGTTTTGTACAGTGATTTAGCTGAATTTTATATAAGCCAGATTTAGGGTAGCGTTATTATATATATTAGGTAGAAATTCTTCACGAATTAATCCCCATTCACAAGCGTTTAGCGATAACAGACTCCTTATTGTTAGACATGGCCAGTCTTTCGCGCGTCATTAGTCTACGGTGACTAGATAACATGGTACAAACGAGTGCAATGATGCTGCAACGCTCATTTTTATTCCTAAGTAGACGATCTTAATATCAAAGAAGCGCCAGAATCGAATAGTTTCTGAGAAATGTTTCGAGAGCCCCGTATATGCCTTGTGGAAATATATCTGATTTATAAAAACAATTAATCTAGAAATATTTAAGCTCTACCTACCCTTAATAATGTAGAAAGCAAATACCATTTGCCAGAACATTGCTAGACATTCTTAAAAAAAAAGGAAAAAAGACGGAAAAATATACATAGATTAGAATATTGCTAATAGCTAAATAAGAGTTGTTTCAAAGCATTGCGCTATAAATTAGACCAAAAAAATACTATCACATTATTTTCTCTACGGAAAACTTTAGGGAGTCCGAGTATAAGCTTAGGAGCTTCGGATGTAAGAATGATGAAGGCAATTATTGGCATCATTGCACTCGATTGTGCGCGAGGGTGACAGAGTTTTTCGTCGAATAAATTTGTACAACATGGTATCCGGCCGTTCCGTTGTTTGTGGCTTGCCGTGGAAACGTTCGCACTTATTTTCAAAACGGCTACACGTAAAAAAAAAAAAATCGTCGCAATTGTTCTCGAGGATGTAAAGGAGCGAAGACGAACTACTACGCGGACGCGCGTCGGACGAGGTATACCGAATGCAGATATTTTATAGTAGGCTTGTGATTATAAATCGAAGAAATTATTGTGTCGAACGGTCCGAGATAAAATAAAAAACGATGTATAAAGAGAAAAAAAAATATTGCTTTCCACACGCAGAATATACTATTGTAATTATGTCGTTAATAAATTGTTTTTTATTTTAACTCTCTCGCAAGAGTGTTCCCTGATATGATCCCGATTACGACGATGGCTAGGATTTTTTTTAATTGAAATTCCATCACAAGGGGAATACACACTCCGGAGATAATTTGCGGAGTATAATTTAGTTTGATAGTTGAGCACTTTGATAACTATGAAACTCTCTATGAATGACATTTACTGCAAATTGAAGAGAATAGGTTTATAACTCGAATAATGAAGAAGAGGATACGTATTTTCTGAATAAATCGAAATTTCAATTAATTTCGTAGAACGATTCAATTGAAGAATAATTGGAACAATTAAATAAAAATAAAATATATTTTTAAATTATAAATTCAAGTTTCTTTGGATTTTCAAAAAATCTGAAATGTAAAATTCTAGAAAAACAACATGGCAATCGTATAAATACTTGCCTCTTTTAATCTTAATTAAAATACAATAAAATCGATTAATTCGAAAATTACATTTTAATTCTTATTTGATGAAATTTAACAGTTTCCAATCGCGTTTTTAAATTCAAGAAGCTATATATCTGCGGAAGATATTTTTTGAATTTTTGCAGTATTACATATAGAGATAATACTTATTTTTATTTAATTTTGCAATTGCCTCTTTTTCTAAATAATTGATTTAATTATACCCGTTTTATTCAGTGAATAAACCTTAGCTTGACAATAAATATATTATATAATCAGTAGAGTTTGTATATTAAGTAAATTGAAAAATAATTCACTATCAAATTAATTCAACTTGAAACATTCAAATTCGAATCTTGATCAAAATTCTTTTCTTTTTTAGTATTCTTATTATGCAGTCAAGATTCCTACATACAGTGACGGTAATTGCATCCCTGTCCGCTACTGACCTCTTCCTTTTGATTCTGACTTCTAGTTCACCGCATTTCACCGACATGATGGCGTTAGTAACTCGGATTTAAATCGCTCGTAAGCAATTTTATTATTAATTCTTTTCGATATATGACACAGCAACTATCGATTCTATTTATTATTAAATATGGCTCCAATTTCTTTCATACTATTTTATTTCGATTATTTATTTCATAATTTGTAATAGTATTCCACATTGTTATTTAATTTTAGTATTTGTTCGATTTAGTACATTGTTAGATAATTTTGATTAGAATTATTAAGAAGAAATAATAAAGCTGACTGCTGTTTCTACTGATAGTGTAGAAATTTGCATTAAAATTGCAATTATTGTCTTGCTAAATTATTAATTGTCATATATCTAAATTCTTATTTAAACTATCTCTCCCCAAAAAAGATGTATTAATTATATCTTAATCTAGATAAATATATTAAACTTCCCTTATGATATAAAAAAGTATATACAAAAATGACATTTCTCATTTTATATATACAATTTTGAAATACTGCCAATGATCTTTTTCTATAAAAAAAAAATTATGTGCAGAGAATTTGCTCTTAGAATTTACCTTGAAAATTATGATAATCAAATAAAAAATATTAATATGTACATAATAAAATTAATCGAACATATTTTATATCTTATTGCGGCAGATATTTAATATTTTGTATTGTGATAAAAATATATTAATCAGAGAAACTCTTATAAAATTCTCCCAATACCATATATTGTCCCACGATTACCATGATTTTCAAGGTAAATTGTAAGCAAAAATTACGCAAAGTTTTCCGAGTCTCACGTTTAAAAATGCAACCGTATTATATTTTTTATACGCGTTTAGAATCGCGCGAAGGGATGCTCGATGACGGGCGAATTTGGCATTTAATTTGCCGCATGACTCGTGAAAGAAAAAATCGTTCGAGACGATGAGAACTCTCGGGATCTCGTTTCGATGACTCCGCTTTGCAGAGAAACCCTTGGAGTAGGCAGCTCAGCGACACGTACAAATCGTACGATTATGCGAGTCGTGACACGGCGCTCGAACCGGCGGTTGACTCTGAGAAAATGCGATTGGATTGATCCCGGTGATATATCGCCGTCTATTTCCGCGTTCTCTCACCCTCGGTTATCCAGGCGGACCGAGAGCGAATTTCTTACGCGATCGCAAGAAAATTTACATCCCCCGTTGCGTCTGTAGTTACATCTATCTTTGCAGGATTGAACACCCTTATGTAATATATTTGAGAAATATGTACACTTTAATAGCAATCTGTATATAATGCATCGAGAAACTCGTCTGCGTTTAATTGCATTAATTTTCTGGCTATTCCGGTAAAAGTGGTAAAAACGAGATACATCAAAATTTAAGAAGTTTAATATTTGAACAGAACATTTTAGTTTTTAGATATTTTTAATGTCTCTTGTGTTATTTTGTTTAAATATTTAAAAGTTTTTTAACTATTTAAGTTACATCCATTTATGGCTGGATTATGACTTATGACAGGATTTGCTCCAAAACCGCTATAAAAAAGTATTTAAATTATTCAATTTATCCAATAATTTTTTTCTACTAATCATC